TAAAAAATATTGTTGCCAAATCTGTATATCTATGCAACCTATCGACCAGTTCTCTGATAAAAACGACCAAAAGCAATACAAATCACAAAACTCATAACTTGCACCACCACAAACGCTGTTTATCTAATTCAAATCCAATGTCAGAAACATAATTTACAATTCGTGGGACAACTATACGATAACGTTCTATTGATCACAAATCTTCTACCACCATGCACACAGAACTTCCTGTTATGTTTGATGTTATGTTAAACTTATATTAAAGTTTTTCTTCATTACCCATTCAAGCCGTCTCCAACCATTATTATTCCTGTCTGCGAAATTCAAAAACAAACAGTATGTACGACCGTTACGCTTTCTGACCGAGAACCTGCTGCATAAGCATGCTTAGTTAGAATGTTTCTCCAAGAAAAACTGCGCATGCGCCTTATTCACTCGACGACAAACAGTCTGCCTGCGGCAGAGAGCTGCAAAGCTCGGTGATCAAGTCGCTACAATTGCTGTATGAAACAAGAAGTAACAACAAAAGTTTAGTTAGGACTTATCTTTACTGTACTTTTACTATCGATAAATAAACTTATAACGTTATTCTACGACCTAACGTCATACCTTTTTAAAAACTTTGATAATTTTTTATATTCTGTTGTACAAAATGGTTAGTAAAGTATATTTACATTTCCCTAAAGTTAAAAAAAAAAGGTACACAGGTTACAGTGTTAATTTATCTCTTTATCGAACTTAGGCCTAAGTTTTATAAAGTGGATTTCGTTGTCTACGATTACAATTCGTTTGTATTGTGCTAGAAATGTTATATTTAAAGAAGTACTGTTACGATAAAGATACTAATTTGGCCGGAAATGTCTCTGCTGGTATTTATGATTACTTGTAGGAGAAAACATTTTCTGGAATTTTGCAATAAATGCTGCAGTGTCCGTTTCTTCAGATAAAAAAGACGAGCATTTTTCTGTTCTTTTAACAATCAATTTTGCCACGTTGATTTTTAAATATTACGTACACATAAACATAATTTGTTTAAATTCTGATCGGTGACACATTTATGTTTAGCAACAATTTTACCCCCCAGTGGCACAGCGGTATGTCTGCGGACTTACAACGCTAGAATCCGGGTTTCGATACCCGTGGTGGGCAGAGCACAGATAGCCCTTGTGTAGCCTTGTGCATAATTAAAAACAAACAAACAAACAAGCCACAATTTTCTATTTCGCGTTTCCCCATTTTCAAATTTGAATTAATTTTTAACATTACATTCCAAGTAAAAACTCGTAATACAAATGTTTTACGTATTGTTTATTTTTAACCTATAATAATTACGATTAAATATTGTAATGCAAAATGAAAATATGTAACCCATATAGTACTTTATTCTTCTACAATTGGCTTCCTAAATTCTAGCGTTTTTATAAGCCTTCACACTTACAGTTGAGCCACTAGGTGGCGAATTTAATGCCACTCCTTGCATTAACAAAGTGTTATCGAAACCTTAAGGAAGTGTTCGAATTTCATACAGTTTGTACTACCTTTGTAAGAGTGTTAAATTTGATTAGAATATCTCATTAGTTTTAGTCACCTACAAAAATAGCGTTTTTATGGCTCAGCTGTGCGCTCGTGGGGTTATAACTTTAAAATTCGGGGCTCGATACCCGCGATAGGTACAGCGCAGATAGCCCTTTGTGTAATTTTGCGTTTGAAAAAAAAAGACGCATACACACACACATACACATGTTTATGACATTAATTGTTGATGACATTAATTGTTGATGGCCAATACTAATAAGTAGTGATATTGAACACTCAGTTTCGTCTTGAAAAACCAATAAGAGAGGCTGTAGAAAACCAAATTGTATGGATGTTTTATGCAATGTGGACAAACATCAAGATCTATAATATATTTATAAACACTTATCAGTCACAGATATATATATATATATATATTACAGTAGATAAATTGATACATCGTGACCGACCTCATACATTTATTAACTTTTACAGACAGACACACGCAAATATATATCACATTCGTACAAATAATTAATTTGGAGTATAGCTCTCTCGTTGTTTCTCCTGTAATTGTTTGTGTATTAATCTATACAGCATTTATAAGCACAATTTTGAATTTATATGTTTGACTTTGGCTGGAGATTTACATTTTATCCCAATTAGTTTCATTAGTTTTAGTTATCTTGAAACTTAAATCCTGTTATTTACTGTAATATTATATCGAATTTTTTAACGACAGGTTTAATTTAATGTTTATTTTGTATTTAGCCTGATTCATATTTCATTTCCCTTGCTTCGAATTTCGTACTTCTGAAATAATTCTTCTTGTATTCTACTTAAAGTTGTGCATGGTTTTATCCTAAGATTGTTTTATTACACGTGTATTTTGACTTTATTTTATGTTTCTTCCTGTTTTGTATGACGTTTTATTTACACTCAATTTTTACTTAGTGCCATTTGAGTTTGTATTTTATTGTTTTTGGTTTGTTACGTTTCATCCCATGTTTCCGAAGTTCTAATTTTGAGTTTCATTTAAACTTGGTGTATAATAATTTACCATTATTATTTCAAAATGTAACTTTTGAGTTTTATTTTAGTTTGTTTTGTTTTAGTTTATTCAGTGCTAGAAAATATTTATTGATAATATTTTCCTTTGCTTATTAGATGTGAACTGATAAGGCACGTCTTGAGTATCATTTTAATTAAAAAGGTATTATGTAAACTACGATTACAGTTATTTGGATTGATTTAGTTTGGCTTTAAGCGTTGAAGTTTTACAGTTTCTGCTTAGGAAATCCCTGAAGTAAAGAAGGGGATGTTATAGTTAAAAATTGACAGAGACCTCAGTCTTCTATAACCTGAAAATAATAAATATTATAGTAAATCCAGGAGTATTTTTCAGAATTGTTCACGCAGGTATGCCGTATTTGGTTATTATGAATAAAATCTTGTAAACAGGATTCAGATAGTCATGAACATGTTTGAATAGTGTTCCAAGGTTGCATATCATAGTGGTCATTCAAAAGAGCTTGCAAGTGTCTGGATTAGGTTCTGTAATCTTCTCCTTTTTGAATACGCAATGAGAAAGAGATCACCAACATAGGTAATCAAGAATTGTGGGATACTTCAACAGGACCGTTGTCTAAATAAAATGGGATGATATGGACACAACTCTTTCTGTCCTCTTTGAGTGCAGATAAGTTTTTACTTACTTCAAGAACCACAAAAAACACTTTAAGACAAGGTAAGCCAGCCAGCTAGTGTTGCATCGGTAACTTGGGTATGATGATAAACTATTTTTTTTTTTTGTTTACGCGTATGTTTATTTCACTTCCTTTGTTGTTTGGATTCTTTTATATTTTTATTCCAAAAGCGAATCTTTTCGAAACTCCCGTATTGCGGATTTTCAACTTGGTTGGTTAGTTTTACCACAGAATTATACAAAATACTGTGCTATACTAAAACGGTTTTGGAGTCTCACTACGTTCATGTCACCACCACCAATTTGGCTTGTTTGACAACTTGCATGTCTTCGTATGGAATAGCATGAATATCTGTTTGATCATCCAGCTGTTTTATATCCAAGTATGCGACGATTGAACTGATATGTCGCGGACAGAAATTCTTCTTGATTGTGTTATGTATTGTTGCCTGGGGCTTATCCTATTTACCACTGTGTTCGTGGGTTCTCAGCTGTTACAAGACGGCTGGGGTACGTCTTGTTGCAAGTCTCCCTCTGGATGAACCTAGTACCCCAAGGTGATCCATATTACTTTTTCTTTCAGATGCCACTAAGTACGAATGATACATACATCTTGGAAATTCTAAATCCCGATCTGTTTTTTTTTCTGTTTTGATTTTCGCGCAAAGCTACACGAGGGCTATCTGAGCTAACAAGCCCTAATTTAGCAGTGATAGATTAGAGGGAAGGCAGCTAGTCAACACCACCCATCGCCAACTCGTGGGCTACGTTCGGTGACGGGGATTTGAACCCGCGACTCTCAGTTTGCGAGTCAAGCGCTTTATCCACCAGGTCGCATTCCGATCTGAAACACGTTTTTATTATCTGAGTGAAGGAATATTTTTCATCAAAAAAAGAATTCTTACAAACAAAACCATTCCCAAATAGCAACAAAGTGTTGATGACGTCACACAACATACATAACGCTAAACAATGGTAAAGTATAGTTCTGATACATGTTGTTTCACTGTTAGTTTATGTCAGTTGTGGTTGTCGAGCGACTTTGTAATGTTGCATTTACGATCGTTATATATATGTAGTTAATTATGAAAAAAATATTATATATTTAACAAGTGTTTTTCAGCTCAATAATCTAATAATTATCGACATCGGTTGTATTTGAATGGCAGAAAAAAAGTGTGTTGATAAGGAACCCTTAGATTACCCATATTTTATCATTAATGGAAATTATAGGACATATTTTTTGATGTAATAGTTTATATAAGTGTACATTTTATTTTTTAAGTCAGCAATTCAAATTTTAAAAAACCTTTAGTTTAACATTACGATTGTTTGCTAATATTATTGTTAAGCGAAACTACGCAATAGATTATTACAATTGGTCCCCCAATTATTCTCCCTAACATTTTATTTACTTGTTTGGTGTGACGGGGATTCGAACCCGCGACCCTCAGATTGCGAGTCGAGCGCCCTAACCACCTGGTCATGCCGGGCCTCTGTCACTAACTACATGTTGGTATCCAAAACATACGACATACATTAACCGGTTACTAGTATTTAGCGATGATAATAAATGATTTATTAATTTGTATTTAAACTTAGGTGATCATATAGACTAATGACTATGACAGTGACAAATATCTCATCTTTCAAAGGAACGTATGCAAATTATCACCAATTTATGTATCTCTAGTCATATGAAAATGCTGGAGAGCAATTTATTTACGATTTTGTTTTGTCAAATCAAGTCACACTCATACTCAAATGTAAAGACTTCTTATTGATAATCAAACAATAGATATTACAGAAACCACATTTATTTGTAAACATTTTAAACAGTTGGAAGTAAACAGCAACTACAACCAGCATCTAAATGGTTGTTGATCATAAGAAACATTGTGAAAAAAGAAAGTGTTTAGAAATATTACTTTCGGCATAACCAATTTCAAAATTAAAAAATCGATATAAGTCCGGTTCCTGTAGAAGGAAGTCCAATCAAATTACCCAGACTGCTCAGGGGAACTCCAGTTAATCCATTTGTAGGAAATCCAGTAAGTCCAGTTGAACCAGTTAATCCATTTGTAGGAAATCCAGTGAAACCATTAAATCCACTTGTAGGAAATCCAGTAAGTCCAGTTGAACCAGTTAATCCATTTGTGGGAAATCCAGTGAAACGATTAAATCCACTTGTAGGAAATCCAAATCTTGTATTAAAGTTACCACCATAAGGATAAAGCCCTGTATTCGTATACCGAGGATAACCTCGAGACCTTTTGACCCTTTGATGTCGATTAATAGCGTTTACCAGTTGAGCTTCATCATCTTGGAAATGGTTTCCTGAAGAGTATGACACAAAAGCTGGATATATAAAACTCATAAGGTTAGTAACTATATATATGTACTTTTTCTAACAACTCTCTCTCTCTCTCTATATATATATATATATATGTGTGTGTGTGTGTGTGTGCACGCGCGCGTGTTGACAAGTACTCGTCTAAACATATCCAACATAAAACATTTCCAAGAATGTCTGACTTTTGGTTATAGCTTAAAGTTGCAGTATGTAAGTATTATAAACTGAATTCTTATATATCAACGTATATGGATATACTCTTGTTCAATTCATTTGTTACCCTGGTTTTAAACTTTTTTTTAACATGTTGGTTGCACTTATAGATAAATAAGGCGTTCTGGGTAGTTGTACTGGGTTAAGAACGGAAAATAATTTTAAGCAAAGTTAATTCCACATAAATTTTAATAAAAGCTACAGTATAACGTCTTGAGTTTAAGCTAGACTGACAAGATAAAAGTCATATGTGGTCATATATATATATATATATATACGATTATAAATAACCCCAGTTCGAACCATAAGGACTTGTATATTTTTATGTTTGAACCAATATTCACGAAACTATGTACAGAATATTTGACTTAACTTACCTGTATTTTGACCTCTTGTCTGTATGAAGTAACACATGCACGTTACAAATAGAAGGAATAAGTACAAGTTACTCATGTCTCGCTCTTAGTTCTTTCTACTATAAGAAATTATAACATATATACTAGTGAGCCCTATTTTATACTTATTCGTTGCCTTTAATGTTGCCCTTGATACCAGGTGAAAATGTTTCGACACGAATTTGAATGTCTTTGTGAGTCATTGCAAGCTAACAAAAGGTTCTTGTATTTTATCAACGCAGCTGTGAATGGAAAATGTAGTTATATTAGTTGTTTTCGGTTAAAGGTTTGTTTTCTCAGCTTCCTCAAACTTAAAGTTATAAAGAAGAATCCGCATTCGAAACCACAAGTTCAGCTGACGTCGTAATGTTTATAAAGTACACATCTAAGTTTTATTGTTGTTGTTTTTTAATTTCGCGCAGAGCTACTCTGAAGCCTATCTGTGTTAACCGTCCCTAATTTCTAAGTGATAGACTAGAAGGAAGGCAGCTATTTAACAAAACTCGCCACCAACTTTGGGCTACTCTTCTGACCGAGTAATTGGGTTTAACCGTCACTCTTAAATGTGGTGAATCTACGACTCTAAATTACGGGGCGCCATCTTTCAACAACGGTTCGCGAATAACTTGCCCTTATATTCACAGTTCGAACACGCTAATAACTAGGCCACGACGGGCTTAAATGAAATTTATCAATTTGACAACTTTAAAATCAGAACTTTAATAAAGTTTCTAATTTCACACCACGGGTATCGAAACCCGGATTCTAGCGTGCCCCCCCCCCGCTGTGCCAATGGGGGGGGGCGCTTCATTACACGAACCTTGCTGTTGTTCCAGTTATTTAATGATAAAACATGTTAACGTGTGTGTGTGTGTGTGTGTACATATTCAGGCATTAGATACTATTAAAAAACAGAGCACCACCAAATACTTTATTTTTTTCTGAAGAAGAAAGTAAAACTGATATCAAGATGAATTTGATAAGACGTCTCAATTAATCGATCACGTGCTATTGATTCTTGAGAGAAAACTGGAACTGGATCGTAGCATTTCTCTGTTTTCTTCTGTTATATTAATAGAGTATTTCACAAAAATCTAAGCTTTGATAATTTGCAACTGTGTTCCAAAATTTATTTATCATTATTTGTGTCTTTTATAGGAGAAAATGGTTCGAATCCCCGTCACACCAAACATGCTCGCCCTTTCAGCCGTGGGGGCGTTATAATGTGACGGTCAATCCCACTATTCGTTGGTAAAAGAGTAGCCCAAGAGTTGGCGGTGGGTGGTGATGACTAGCTGCCTTCCCTCTAGTCTTACACTGCTAAATTAGGGACGGCTAGCGCAGATAGCCCTCGAGTAGCTTTGCGCGAAATTCAAAACAAACCAAATTTTTGAATACTGGAATAGTCAAAATAATAATAATAAAAATGTTTGATTTTTTTTTTGTATGTCTAACC